ATTTGGGTTTTTCTAGACCACGAAGTTGACGGAAACTCGGGGACTGTGGCCCCAGGAAGGACAAAACCGGTCATGGGCCGTCGAAGAGATTTCAGCAACCTTGTGAGTAGTTTCCTTTAGTAAAACATACTGCGAATATCATGTCAACTGCAACACGAGGTAACATTTGTGCAGTCCATTCGGTTAAGGAACAAAATAAACGAGAGATTTAGTTGAATCATTTTTTCAAAACCAAATTCGTGCGCAAATGAAAGTACTTGTCGAAATCTATCCAATTCATGTTCAAGTGGAACATAAGTTTGATGGAAACTCGGGAGTTGTGTCTGCCTAATGAGTCCGAAGATGGGCCAAACTGGACATGATTTCTTGCAAACTTTTCAGCAACTTTATGAGTAGTTTTCCGAACAGACAGAGGGCATTTTTGACATTATACAATAATCATAAATTTGTTAAAATCTCGTCGAAGGCCGATTTCGCCCTTTCATGATGCTCATCTAGTAGACGCATTCGTCGAGTTTCCTTCAATGTTGTGTCCTACCTGTAGTAGTGTAGTTAACTGATGGACACTCTTTTGGTGTTGATGTATACAATACTCTTCGACTAAAATTGCCGCCGCAGCTATAATTTCTGTTAACACCAAATTGATCTTCAGAGAGACAGAGGATAAAATATCCCATTTGGAAAAACAAATACAAGAACTCAGAGAGCTTCTGCTGCCCCTAGTTAACCAGACAACTGATGTAAAATCAGCGAAGGCATCTAGGTCAATGGCAGACCCTGCTTGCACTCCGAGGACTGTTGAGGAAACCAGACCAAACAGCACCAAGACAAAAAAGACGAATGTTACTGAACCTGAGCCAGCGGAACTCAACAGTATACACAAGAACATGGGAATTGTCGGCTGCCCCGCATCGAAGGTTACCGACCATACTAGGAAACTGAAACCGAAACCGAAACTAAGCGTAATATGCACTAATATCAAGGAGCCAAGCGACTCACTATTATCGGCTAAGCATAAGCACGATATGGAAGAATGGTTAAAGCTGTGCCCGCCGAAATGCATCATCAAGACAAACCCAGACTTCTCAGAGTAACTGTTAAGACAGAAAAAGAATTAGAAAATATACTGTTGTCAGCATTTCGACTCCAGAGCGATTCGGAAAATAGCGCGCGAGTTCATGCTGACGTACCATGGACAGAACGATCTCGTAATGTCGAAAATCAAGCGACTAATAATCGTGCTGATGATCGGAGCTTGATCATTCTGGGTGTCCCTGAGATTGACGATGCCTCCGATAAAACGGCACGCATTTCACATGACGTTCTACAGTGGAAGTTTCTGAGTAGTACGCTCGAAACGGAAGAGGTGGCAGTAGTTGATGCTTTCAGAATTCCTAAATCGGAAAAATACATGGGAAACGGCCCTAGACCCTTAAAGCTGACATTTCTTCGTGCCGAAATGGCCAACTTGGTGAAAGCTCAGTGGCGAAGGCACCGTAATTTGCTTCCGAGGGAACTGAGAATAAGCTCACCTAAACGCTCAAACGCATCTGCTGATACGATTCGGACTGGCGAAATAGGAACTATTCAAACGCAAACGATCACTGATGAATACCAACAAACCACGGTTGGTATTCAGACTATGATGGAAAAATTGGGGTCAAAAAACGATTTACCAAAAAACGAATCACTGCTGGCTCCCCGGGAGTCGTGCGTTGCAGCACAGCAGAATTAACCACAACGACTAGCCTTAAGTGCCTCTATACAAATACCCAATGTCTGCCCAGTAAAGTGGCAGAATTAAACGCCTTTTGCGACCAATACAAACCTCACTTGGTGGCAGTGACTGAGACTTGGTTGCAAGCGGAAATATCGGACAAGGAAATCGAAATTACAAACATGAGTGTTATACGACACGATCGAGCCACCCATGGCGGTGGAGTTGCACTATATTATGACAGTAGTCTTCAATGTGCTGAAATACCTGACGCTAATCTCATCCTTGAAGATACCCTCTGGTGTATGCTGAAGTCAAACAAGATAGATGCGTGCATTATTGGTGTCATTTACCGCTCTCCAACCGCAATGGACACTCACACATTCAGTATATGTGACCGAATCCGTCGCGTATGCTCTTACTACTCCATTCCCATTCTCATTATGGGTGATTTCAATTTTCCCCAGCTTTTCGTCGCTTCATACTCGCTCAACTCAGTTGAAGCACACTTTCAGGAGCTGTTAGATTTGGTACCTTTATTCAACCATGTTAACGAATGTACGAGGTTTCGTGGAACAGATCAACCTTCGTTACTTGACCTTATACTAACTAGTGAGCCATTTATGGTTGAACAAATCATATATAGACCACCACTGGGAAAGAGCGACCATCTCGTGCTCTTGTTCGATTTCACTTGCTCCTCCGTACGTTTAAGCGACCCACATAAATATGTTCTGAAGACCAATTTTCGGGAGATAATCTCAGCCTTCCAGGACCTAAATATGCTGGATGACGAACACGAAAATACTAATAGGCGATGGAAATCATTCATAGCCCAGCTGCAGACCTTGATTGCAGACAATTCGACAGAGGTGCCTCGAGCCACCTGCGTACAGATGTTCACAGTGAGGAGTCGAACAAGAAAATGGATTACAGAACGTAACATCGCTTGGTTTCAATATAAAACGAACCGGACCGACGAACACTGGGAGTCGTACCGAAAGTTGCGGAATAAAGTCACGTCACTAATCAAGGAAGACAAACTACAACAGCAATTCAAATTGATGACTAGGATGGAGAAAAACCCCAAACTATTGTATCAATTCGTGAATGCGCAGGCTAAAGTTAAACCAGGTATATCTGCCATAAAGACAGAATCGGGAATGACTGCAAATGCGTTTGAAACAGCTAATGCCCTTGCCACATTTTATGCTTCCGTGTTTTCTCCTGAAGATACCCGCGCTCCTATACAAACTGTGGAGGTACTAACGGACGAAACTTTATCGGACGTGCATATTGATCGGGCTAACATTGTCAAACACCTTCGCGGCTTACAGGTACACACTTCACCTGGTGGGGATGGCGTTACACCACTGCTTCTGCGCCACTGCGCTGAACCACTTAGCTATCCTCTGGCTAAACTGTTCGCTAGTTCTCTGGAAGAAGGGTTGGTACCAGAGGATTGGAAATGCGGGATAATAGCCCCCATATTCAAAGGAGGTATCAGAACGTGTGCATCTAACTACAGACCTGTCACTCTTCTCCCAGTAATATCAAAAGTAATGGAACGAATTATAGCAGAAGCCCTGAAATCGCACCTTGAAATTCACTCCTTGTTGAGCGATAAACAACACGGATTTCGACAGAATCGTTCTTGTTTATCCAATCTCCTCGTGACACTCGATGACTGGACACGAGCAGTCGATGCGGGAGTTACTGTACATGCCTGTTACTTGGATATATCCAAAGCCTTTGATCGAGTCGATCACAGTATCCTTCTTCGGAAACTTGAAATGTATGGCGTGACGGGAAATCTGTTGAGCTGGCTGAAAGACTATTTGAGTGACCGTTCGGTCCAAGTTCGTGTCGATGGAGCGTTTTCCGATAAAATTGCCGCCACAAGTGGTGTCCCTCAGGGTTCGGTTCTTGGTCCAATTTTGTTCCTGGTATACATGAATGACCTGCCGAAACTTCTGCAGTGCAAAACCGTACTTTTTGCTGATGACATAAAAATCTGGTCTGAAATTCATGGAAAGGCTGATTGTGATGCGCTACAGCAAGATCTGCAAAGAATCGACGAATGGTCCATCCAAAACCGGCTGCCGCTGAATTTCCAGAAATGCAAACTCATAAATCTGGGGAAGAGCTACCACTTCCCATACAAACTGGGATCCAATGAACTGGAATGGGTGGCTGAGGAAAAAGACCTCGGCGTCTGGATTTCTAGCAACCTGAAGCCGAGTAAACACTGTCTATCAGTATATCGCAAGACCTCGGCACTGCTCGGGATGCTTAGGAGAATATTTTATCGTTTTACGCCTGAAATTCTCCCTATTATCATGAACACATATCTCCGGCCGACAATGGAATACGCGATCCAAGCCTGGTCTCCATGGCTGCAAAAGGATACACAACTGCTAGAGCGTATCTACCACCGCGCGACCAAGCTGGTCATTGGCCTCCGAAACGTTCCCTACAGTGAAAGGCTACGTAAACTCGATTTGTTTGATTTAACTTATCGGCGTATACGAGGAGACCTCATCCTGATGTTCAAGATAATAAACACCCCTAATCACCCTTTAAAACATTTGTTCACAGTTAATTTGGCCCGACAGACCCGACGGAATCCATTGGCCGTTGACATTCCATGTTCCCGCATTAACTGTCGGCGCTACTTTTTTTCAGTCCGCGTATCCCTCACGTGGAACAAACTACCAACATCTGTTGTGGATTGTGGTAACCTCGAGACTTTCAAACATTCGCTTGACGAATACATAAGATCTCACCCAACTTCCCTCATCAACATTTGAGATGCAGATTACAAACAATAGAACATATATGTCATATCATTCCGTTTATCTGTATACATACACACACACCAATATCCTTTGGTCATTGTAAAGCAAAATGCTTTTTAGACCAATATAACCTTGATTTACCTTGATTTATTGAAGTTTGTCAGTATACTGAATATGGTTAAAGCTCAACATACACCGTGCTTGTAGCCCAATAGATCACGTTTCCATTCATTTGGGTTCACGTTTCGTCTCCAGAACAAACCGTGTTCAGGTCAGCTGATTGGTTCCACATTAAGGTGGGTACACATGTTTCCGGTCATCTGATCACGATCAAGACATATCGGATAGTTAGATAATCCATACAGTTAATCAGGCCGCCTGTATCAGTCTAACTAATCCCTGTCCGATCCGAGTGACTTTTTCATCGCATACCATCAACTGAATTGGGAAGGCGACATTCCAATTAAGTGACATGATTGATTCGAATGAATTCGCTTCAGGCTGGTAGCGGCATGATGAAGGTTCCGAGGTGATTTCAGTGACGGCCATTGTCGAATGCAGTAAAGTGAAATTTCTCCATCTTCCGCTAGTCTAATACGTTTTGTTTGTCGGTAGCTTTGGATACACACTTGAAATTATACGCATCTGTTGGCATCGTATGGTCATGAAAAAGATTGGATAATGTCCTTTGACACTACATCCTGGGTACACACTTTTCCAACGGCTAAGTATGGTGGGAATTAATTCAGCTGTTTTCAAATCCCAACTTTTCCAGTAAAGCGCTAAGGACTGTGCAAATTAACGCATCAGAAATCACAAATGGGAAAAAGGTTAGTCCAAAAAAACCGGACAGATACAATAAGAAACACTGTCTCAACCAAGATTACCGCAATAGAATGAGCTTTCCATTAGCATCGGTAAGCACTGTCATTCGAAGGCTTGAATCTGTGCAATAGAGAGGAAGATGGTTCAGTGATCAGAGGGCGAATTTATTGATCGGAAGGTCCATGGTTCGAGCCCGACCTCTGTGACTCAACTGCCACTGTCTAGGCTTAGGCAACCTAGCAGCATCTCAGCCCTCGTGCTTGTTTCGGGTGAAATGACAGTTAGGCATTGAAAGGGTGCTACAGCTGAACAAATAACACATGTGCAATAATTTTTAATTTTTCATTTCAATTTAATTTTTTAATTTTTAATTCCTATGGCTAGACAATGCTGCGTAACTGAACACAACTCATATACGAGCACATATCAACATCCATATTGAGCAATACGATTAACCGACTCATTGAATAGGCGAGTATTGTTTTAAGTGTTTTACGTGTATTGATTATCTGCATGACGTCGATGTCCCGTCCCTGGAACTCTAGTTCCCAACTGACAAGGCAGATTACTGAGGAATTCATATACTTTGTAAATTTTTCTCATGTAACATATTTCACTCGTGAGTACGATTCGGATTTTGAGCACAAACGAGATCCCGGAATGGATTCATGTTCAGTCTGTAGCTATCGAACGACGGTAGATCACCGTAAAATCCGATCAAATCATTTTCATGTTTTATGCAGAAGTCATCATCGTTGAATCGCTTCTTACTAGTTGGCCGCTTAGTGGACTTCTGTGTCACTCAGGGCACGGCCTCTCGCCATGTTCATCCAGCCTTACAAGCGGTTCTATGACTATCTGTCGTTTCGTGCCCAGTGGTGTAGCAACTCGCCTCAATCCTCTCCTATGCCTGGCATTGCATTTCAGTTGGGTATCAGTCCCGTGTACCCAATTAACGGGTCTCTTTCTGTAACTGGCTGCGTCGGGTTGTATCACCCCGTCCCTTATGCGGAGTTCTTTATGAATTATTTGAAGTGAAACTGGCCAGTTGGACGTGAGCTCTATTCACTCAGCTTACTTGACGCGGGAGCCATGACTCAAACCAGTCAGGTGTCCTATCCTTTCCACTGTCGGTTGCTTTCAGGGGACAGTTGGCTCTGGGATGGATCACTGAGCCTGTAACGTCATGAGATAACACACTTAACGAGCAGGGGCTATAGGGGGATTCATGTTGTCTTCGAATCATTCCAGTTCTAACATTGGATGGAGCGTGATGGGAGTTGGGACGTTTCACATGCAACCGCTCAGATCGCGGTGAATAGGCAATATCTTGGTTCTTGACTCTCCTATTGAGGCGTCATCTCGCTGGTGTCTCACCCAAGCCTGGGATTGGGTATCCCACACTTAATACTCTCAGTACAATCAGAGCAAGCAAAATCAAAAACCGAATACCGAATAAACAGAACACGGTTCGAGCAAGATTTATTCTTCACTGACGTCACACAGTACTCATAGGTTTGCTGGAAACTATTTGATAGCCTGCAACCGATGGGGCCAGATGGCTCAGTGATTAGGACGCGAATTTACTGACCGGAAGGTCCGTGGTTCGAACCCGACCTCTCCCTTTTGACTTTCTCTGCCTAGGTTTGGGCAACTTAGCAGGGATACTGCTAAGTCTGCGAAAGCCGCCAGGCGCAAACTTCGCGAAGAAAGTTCTCCCAGTCAACAGCGGTCGTGTGGCTAATAGATAATTCCTTTGAGCAGAATTTGGTTTTTGCCAAACTTTTGAACCAGCAATAAATTAGTAGAAAAGAAAAACGTATTGCCGTCTCCTTGTCATGAACGAGGGTTGAATGCGTCAGAAAGTTCGTTTGAATTTTCACATCCGAACAGAGAGTATTTTTGCACAAAATGAGCCTAGATGCGGATAAGGAATAGTTTTCATCTAAAACAGGTCAAGGTTGTGTGCGTACATTAAATTGGAGCTGACAAAAAGTGGCGGACTTTAACTTTTCACACATGCACTTTTTGCATTAGTGGCGGGGCTTATCTGGAACAGATCCCGAAACCAGCCATGGGCTGCCGGAGTTTAAGCAACCTTATGGGTAATGTGTTACGTGTATCGCGATATCTCGAATATCATACCAACTGAAACATGAGGCGACCTAGTGCAGCACATTCATAAACGAGGGACGCAACTGGGTTTCAGGTGAGCCTCTCGTGAAAACCAAATAGGCATGCAAGTTTGAATTAATTCTGAGTAAGAACGCTGTCCACGAAGCAGGGTTCATTCTTTCAGAAGAGCTTCGTAAACAATCAGTGGTTTTTATTTGGGCAACGTTTCGCTTTTGACTCAAAAGCTTCACCAGGCCAAGTGAGCATGTCACCAAGTCGTCCAGGTTATAAGACAGACAGGGAACCAATCAGTAAGTCCTCTTCAGATTATCACACTAGATCAGTGTTGAGTATGAATTAGCGGCTCTTGTCGGCTAGCGTGGTTGCCAAAATCTTGAATTGGTGGGTTGGAAGAGTTTCAAATTAGTTCCGATCGCTTTTTGTTCCTTAATCTTCAACTTCATGGTGCTTTAATTGATGATTCACCTCGGGTGCCACTGGTAGATTTTTCTTGGTCTTCGTGTGCATGTGAATGTTGCGATAAATAAGTTGGGGGGAGCGGGGTTGTGTAAGGTTAAGCGGAATCCAGAAGATGACTACTCTTCCCTCTGACAATCGCACACCAACATGTGTTAGCGGTATGACCCAAGACCGTCATTCTTCTTTAGAGATACATTTAATTGGACCAGGAGTTGAGTCCAAATGAAAGTCACCGCAACTGAAACAGTTGCGGTCACCTATATGCTCAATAATGATTGAATTATTTTTTTCTGTTCAGGGCAAACATGTTGGTGGAATGGACTAGGATATATGTGACCCACAGCAATACCAATATTTAAACTGAAATAAATTTGAATTGCGTTCAATAAGGAGGAGGGTGATGTTAAAAGGGTTTAAATGTTTAAGGTCCATTCTTTGAAATCAGTTGGAAACTGTCTCCCTTTGAATGCAAATACATTTCTATACTATTCGGAAATATAGTTTTGTTCGTGAAGCATGCTTTGAGTCCTTTAAGCAAGTGCCCGTTGCTGGGGGGGCGTATTTGTGGAAAACTTGTACTCATCCTGGAATACAAAGTAGTAAGTGTGTAAATAAACCTGCTTCTAGCACAACTGTTATAAATCTTTCTGGTTTACCTTGTATAGCAAAGTTCACGCTGAAAAAACTGCAGTGATACTCCTCAACAGTGATTCCCAGAGAGGAACCTGTTTGCAGCATGTTTTGTGAACGAATTTCCAAATGTCAGGTGAAAATTGATACACTTCCTGCTGTCTAGTGGTATGACAAGCTATAAATAGGGAGGAAATGAACTAACCAACTTTTCCACACCATTATGAAGGCATATTTGCCTTTCGAAGAGGCTCTACTCGCATTGCTCGTCACTTATGACTTCGCTCACACAGGCAAAGTAACCATTGGTCGGTTCAAATCGTTGACACGCTGACACACTACAATAACAACTGCCTGAGAATCAGTGGATCGATCAGTCCAAAGTGTGATATGTGCTCACGTGGTGTTCCGTCCTTCTGATCGGTTGCCAAAATACAACAATGTGACAGCGCCTCCTAATTCACGAATCCAGATGAATTAGAAAGTCGCCGTTTCGAAATTTAATGTCCTTTTTCGAGGAGTTGTTGGCTTCAGGGAACCGAGTTCCACGTCTCCCGATTGATCGGAGTGCTTTTAATTCCAAAGGTGATTGTGACGGAGATTCGAAGTCCCGTGCAGAGTCGATACTGCACCTGACTCGTATTAAATGGATTGTAGAAATTTCTGAACAAGGTTAACCATAGCAACGTAAGCGTAGGGTTTTAATGTCTTATTCCACTATGCTACGTTGGCTTTAAACTTCCATTTTTATACACCACATGGCGCTCAGTTTGCTAAACAAGATCAGAGCCCAGTTTGGACCTGAACTTCTAATCCTGTTAATGGCTTGGGCTTTCCCTCAAAGCCTATGCATGTCCCCCATGTGACATGTCTTGTTTGTTATCTATCTTGTAGCGTGGGTCGTCATGAAGTCAGCGGTATTCGACGTTCGACAGGGTGTAGCGACGGTTCACGTCGGTTTTGAAATGTGCAGATATAGAGATTGGTATTACTGAATCCACACGGTACACATTCGCACTGGTCGGGTGACACGGGAGAGAAGACCGGAGCGTAGCAACAACACACGTGTATTCAACCAAAACCGAATGCGGAAGTCAGGGGTATAAAATCAGGTCAGGGTCAATCAGGAGGGGGGGTACAAGCGGGCTACTCTTTCCTGTTCGGGGCTCGTGGGGGCTCGTCCGTAGTACCTGCAATAGGGAGAGAGAGAGGGAGGGAGGGAGGGAGACGTGCAAGCAGATACAGTCGAGTTTCAAATTCGTTACAATCTTGTCCCATGAACAACGCACTGTAAGAGGCGACCTCGTGCGCTCTCCGTTAGCATAACTGTAGCCTGCCCCTTAGTTCGCCTGTTTGCGGTATCCGGTGCACGACTGCGTGTTGTATGGTTGTTCTAACTTGTGTGTCTGAGGTGGGCCGATTGCTCGTGCCACCTTGTGACCACAGCGATCATGGTGCTGCCGCAAACACAGGCTTTTGATCACTTTGTATAATAACTTGTAACAATGAGCATGCTTCTCTGAGGTGCATGAACCCCTTATATTCATGATAATTTTAGCGCTGGATATCATCATATATTGCTTGGGCTGGGCAGGTAAGTTGAGATATGTAGAACTTCCATCGGCATGTTGACATGCCCCCGACTGATACCTGGCGCGTATTTTGGTCGCAGTTCGTACAATGCCGAGATACGTCTCATACTTGCTAGCAAGCACACTGTGGGTAAAAGTTGGGATTGGAATAATACGGGGAGATCCTACGTAGTGCCCATTTACTATAGACGTCTCACGCTGGATAGCAGTGCGGGGACAGCAGCCCGCAGGACAAGACTCCTTGTTGGCCGTGAAGTAGATGAGCAGTTAAGTACTTTTGGAAGAGCTGAATCGTGGGCCTGTCATTCACGTAATGCTGTTAGCATCATATGCTCGAACAAGCTATGCTTCACAGCATTTTCACACCCGTCTTCTCTTCCCAATGACAATATTTTACAATCTTACTATTCCGTCCTGGAAGGTTTTCCACCTCGAAAGTATATTTGAGAAGGGAGAAAAAAGGTGTATCAGTAAGCCCATCTGACGGAAACTGACTAATTGTTAGGGCTAACATTGGTTAGGTTGCATCTATGTGCTCTTTTCAAGGTTGTGCTTTCAACTATCAATACTATTTGATTAGTTCGCCCCAGATGAGATATTTATTCTGAAGAAATGAACTACTAATCTCCCATGAATCTCATTCCCGATCCCAAATAGAATCAGCACTTTCAAAATAAACAACCGTACTAACATCAAATTTCTGAGGCTAAGAATCATGATGACCAAGAAAGTGGGGTGAATTGCAGTTTCGCAAGAGGTGTATGTAACCCAGACAGGGGCGAGACTTGTGCAGTTTATAGCATCGTCGCACCTCACCGTTTGCCTGGCCTTCCGTCTTGTTTTTACCGACTTCTTTTTATGATCACCACTTATAGGTCCGTCTGTCACCTCCAGTGACAACCTCTCAGATATAAGTTCACTCATCGTGATTGAAGGATGGACGTTGCTATATCCTGTATAAGTGCAAGCTAATCATTACTGACTAGTCGCTCGTGGCCGAACGGGTAAGTGCTCAAACTGGTAGTCATAAACGAGAGATTTAATCGAGTCTCCCATGAAAACAAAATTGATTTACAAATGAGTGTATTTCTCGAAAACAGTGCAATTTGGGTTCAAGAGGATCATAAGGTTGACGAAGACTCGGCGACTGCGCCTACCTGATGGGCCCCAAGAAGGGCGAAACCGGTCGTGGGCCGTCGAAGAGTTTTCAGCAACCTTGTGCGTAGTTTCCTGTATGGTAGTCAGGAGGTTGCGAGGTTCGAAACTCCTGAGTCTACTGGGATTCACGTTGTTGATGGTTGTTCTCACCAATCTCTTAGATAACCTCCACTTCCAGTGTGACTACATAGAATTTAAGTCCATGGGGTACGTCAAAAATGGACAAACAATCAAGGATTACGTGCGAATATGTAGGAGTGCATTGTGTTCAACTGTCCTACATCCGATCGAAAAGGATCTCTTCTAGATGGCCCGCATGTCGGGAGCAAATGTGGCCACCGAGGGGAAAGTCAGCGGCAATAAAATGAGCTTCTGATACTGATCTTTTGTACCAAACTTCGAATAAACTCAGTCGGTCACATTTATCTGAGTATTCTGCTACCCCTGTCCTACCTCCCCTGGTGTGATTGGCAAACAACTCATCAGTTGACGCTTCGACAGGCTGAGTTACATTAAACACATAAGCAGGGTGGAGTAAAGCTCGCATTGGTGCGATGCACACGAACACAACCTTACGTGTCGTACATTATTTGGTTTAGTCAAGAACTCATACTTGGCTAAGTCTAAACAGGGATGCTTTTTTCGTTTTACGCCCTCTCATTGATTTTTTTCATGTATTGATAGCTGCCCGCTTTCTAGGTTTGTGGCCGGTCGGTCAAATCAAGTAGCTCATGCAAAAAAGACAGTCACGCACCTCACTTATTGCTGTTGTTCACACACCCAGTCTGTTAGAGGAAACTTTGCATTGTCCTCTCCTGGACAAAACGCCACCCAATTTTCAGTCAATATTTCCCCCACCTTTCACCTGAGAACGCAGCTTAGTGACCCAGGGCAACACCTCGTCCTGTGTCGACTCGAGTTATACGGTAAAACATCCTGCTGGGTACGAAACGCTTATCGCCAGACCCACAATTCTTTTGATAGAGCTCCTTTAACAAATTAACCGCAGTTAACAAACGGAACGCGAGCACACTACATTGAAACTAAGGATGGGGAATCATCCAGATGGCCTCTTGTGTAGATCCGTTTCAACTTTGACCAAAGATGGGGCGAGATGGCCCAAGTGGTAAGAGCGCGAATTTACTGACCACAACGTCAGTGGTTCGAACCCGACCTCTCTGCCTCTCAACTTCCCCTGTTCACGCTTGGGCAACCTGGCAGTATCCCAGCCCTCGTGCTTCCTTCAGATGACATGGCTGCTGGGCACCTGAAGGGTGCTACAGCTGAACGTTTCTTACGTCTATTGGAGCAAAGATAAAAAAATATTGACCTAACGTCTATTGGAGCAAAGATAAACAAATATTGACCTAAATAAAGGTGGGAGTTAGTGACAAGAAGGCGGACCGTTTTCAAAGAGGAAACAAATCTGCACAAAGCAGAAGAGGTGTTACCGGAAGATGACTATCCATAATGTTCTGCTAGAAAGAACGGTCTGTAGAAATTTAAGACGAAGGTTACTTGTGCCCAAGAGAAAGCGTTTCCGTGCAATTGTCTTTCAGAGACGATCATATTTTTACACATACTGAGGATCAACTAACAGCCACACTAGATCGCACTTTCCCAGGCGCACTCCGAAGAGTAACCCAGTAGGGGCGAGATGCCTCAGTGGCTAGAGCGCGAAGCTACTGATTGGAAGTTCGAACCCAACCTCCGACTCTCGACTTCCCCAGTCTAGGCTTGGGCAACCTAGCAGTATCCCAGCCCTCGTGCCTCCTTCAAATGCCATGGCATCTAGGCACCGAAAGGACGTAAGATTATTATTTTATATTTAGTAACCAGTCAGGCCATCTTAGACCTGAGACTTCAAGTTCCTTCTGTAGCCCATGTTGCCAGTAAGTTCTTTACAGTTGCGGTATCGTCTACGCTGGAAGAACAGACCACAATCTCAGGTGATTACTTAACACCTCATGCCCACCGTGTGAAAGCAATCACTTACTTAGTTGTCAGTCTACAACCGGATTCATCCGTTATAAGACTCTTGCCGATGGAGGGTCATTCTGTCGGCCCTGGGCGGTCTTCCGATGTTCTACTTCGCAATCGAACGTCCGGGTGCTGGAATCCAACCGAGACTGCCGGTTTTAGGTGTGCAAAAACTTCCGACCAAAATATCTGTCTAACCTAGCGTTCAACACCGTCCCGTCTATTCCGTCCTTCTTGGACACCGCCAAGTTTTTCCTCATCGTCAACGTGTACTAGACCAATAAATGTTTATAGGTGGACGGCCGATGAAAGCAATTGAAGTATTGACGTCTCGTCTGTTGTTTTTAAGGAGGCCCAATACTTCAAATTTCCACAGGGGGAATACATACGGTGTCTGTCTATAATTATGTGGGCTGGCTTCACAGAAGATCCACGGCAGTGGGAGTTTGTTCGCTAAATTGAGAGAGGAAGAGAAAAGGCGGCTAGGCACATCCTCCAACCGGATAACGACAGTGTCCAGTCCTCGAGTCTATCAGCTTCTCTAGACATCATCCTTCTCACTGGCAGTCTTGCTGGACAATAGAGTGGTTCGGTTGGAAACAAGTTGTCTTCGCGTGGGTGGTGAAACGTTACCTTGTACGGTTCGCATACATGGAAGTGCCACTGACAATGCGCTTGAAATGAGCGACAGGCTTTCAGCAGGCGGCAATACCATCGTAGTGGCTGTGTGGTTGTTTGAACGAGTTTTTTCTGGTGGAAAAACTCAGGTAGATATACCTAGTGGCATTCGAATGCTGACCTTATGTGTACCTACCCCGACAAATTTTGCCAGGCTGGTTATAGCTAGTAGATGTGTTCAACCGATCTTAGAAAGAAGAACGTCTGTAGTGGGAACACGACAGGTACATGCTTCATGAGGCTCTGAAACGGAGCCGTCAGAAATCAATACGTCAGTGAGAAGAAGACGATAGGAATGTGAAGCTATTCGCCTGTCAACCTTGTGTTTATGGTGAGGCGCACTTGCGCAATTGCTGGCTATGTGAGGCCGGATTTGGAACATCTCTGCATCTGGGTTAGTCTTCTGGTAGTGGTTGATATCACCTAGGCTTACGTGCAAAATTTCAGATGCTTTCCAAAACCTTGTGACCGGCCCGAAATTTGCGAGGAGCCGGTTTGAGTAGGTGTATACTACTCACATTAGAGTGACCTGCGGGACCCTGATTGGACTTGCAAGTGAATGCTTGATTCACCAGGATCTCTTTTCAAAATGACACTATAATCGCTCAAATCCGGCGGTTAGATGGCGTATACCATATGAGTTGAACGAAACGACTCGGCAGTGAGATGGGGACGTTTTTAGTACACCTCGATGGATGGGATAACCCACAAATCAATTTGATACCGAGCTACTTTACCTTAACAGAACTGCCAATACTACCGTTGTCAAGCGTGGTGTCACACTGATCGTTCTGCTATAAGCTTAATTGGAAAATTCTAGTACGGGAGGCACATCTAGAGAAAATAGGAGATAGTGCAGCGTATGAGAAGGGGTCGCTCAGGTGCGCTGTTCCCGGACCACCCCTATCGTTCAAATAGAACAAACCGGTTATTCAGACAGATATCTGCCGAATTCTCCAAGTGTCCACTGTAATTGGACAACACATATCTCGGCGATGGACCCCTACGGTATTCATCACCAACAGTGTGTGACACCGGCCTACTTCAACTAAGAGCACCTGTCAGAGGAACTTAGCGCACCTGCTTGGAAGCTACACGCCCCCTGTTTGCTGACCAAAACACAACCGGAGAGGAGTTTGTGAAGAAATGCTGCCTGTAAGCTGTCGTGTCTTAGAGGTAATGGTCGAGTTTAGACGCTAGCCTCTGAAGCCTAGTTGCGCAGTTAGCCGTAATTTTACGAAGAAAAAAGATGCAGAACACACCGAAAAGATGAGGTCCGTTACTGGTTATTCGCCACACTGGTCTGTCCACATGTTGCTTAAGACTGGAAGGGCCGGAACAAATCTGTTCTCACTAGACTGTTGCTATCCTGGTCTATTGATAGTCAGAAGCCGATAGCGGAAACTCAGCTACGTGACCCCTACTATCCAGACAAGTATGTCAAATTAACCTAACCAAAACTGGTCCGCAACAGTGACCTGTGTGGACGTTGTTGCAACTAATTGGTCGATAACGGCCTTCCGTCTCGATCTTGCTTCTCGGTATAGTTTCACTCCAATCACAGAATGAAATCTATACATGGTTTATCGGTCAGTCCGACGTGCCGCTGATCCATCTGTGTCAAAGGTCAAACTGATAAGACCACAGAATCTCAGCTGCACATCCTGGATTGAAACCCCGTTTGAAAACTTCACACTGTGTACAGATTCTTGAAACAACAAAAAAA